TATAAATAAGATTTCTGCCCTCTTTACCACTCCCATCAGTTACACTGAACTTTTATGCACTTTAAACACAGGCAAAGCACCTCCACATTTCGCTGGGGGGGATCTTTTTGCCTCCTCTTACCACAGCTGCTGTTAACCACACCGAGTGCACCCTGTTCTGGTTGTTCATACGCTATGCAGGACACAGATTCGTCCTTCAATATCGATATTACTTGAATTAACACACTGTTTAAATCATCCACTGGCTGTTATTCTCTTTCTACACATTATGTTGGGTTGTCATCACTCCAGCTTCTCATCCCGTTGCTCTCTGAGTGTTTGGATCAGAATTATAGCAGCCTATTACTGCTGCAATCCCACCTAGATCTTAACACCACCATTTCTCCTTACTTTTGTCTCAACCTGCAACACATCCCAGATCCAGAAAACAAGGAGGCCCTTTCATAGCCGTGGAAGAGAGATCCCAAACGAGAGAAATACAGAATTAGACAAATGGTTTAGGCACAGAGAAGGCTGGGACATTGCATTCCCTGCCCCAGGCGGTCACTGCTGTGGGTAGAGTTGGGATGAGACAGGATCTGTGATTTCTGCAATGCATTGACTTATTGAAGTGTAGGATTTGGTCTTATTTCTGAGTTATTGTGGCTGTCTTCCCCAAATGTCCTTCTCCCATCTCATCAATCATTTGTAAAGAACAAATCAGGCACCCTCCCCGTGCCCAGCTGAACCATCCCCAGCCCCTTGAATGATGTGACCGGGTCCTGGCCATTGCCACCACTGAAAAACCTCTGCTCCCCAAAGCTCACACCCTCACTGAATCAAGGAACAGAGACTGCAGCCATAAGAGCCACTTTTGGCTTTTCCTGCCTGAGTTTTCAAGGCAGCTCTGTCCTTCTCCATCTTGGCATGGTGTGAAGGCTACAGGAATGAGCTGGGTCCAAACAGAGGAGGAACAGCCAACAGCTCTCTAGACCCCAACTCTCCTGCATGCTTACAGCAGGGGTTTGCTGCTCTCCACTGCCAAGCTGCCCACTCCAGATAAGACCCCTGCGCTCTGGAGTTTCCCCAGCCTCACCAAACAGCAAATGCTCCGAGGTTATCGGCGCCCCAGAGCAGTTGGGAGACAGTTGAGTGTCTGTCTGAGCGCTGATAGAAGGGAAGGCTTTGCTCTTGGAGATAAGAAGCCCTCCCTGAGGAGCCGGGGGGAGGTTCGTTGGTATCTGAGCGTCTTCCAGCGCATTGCAGCCATACCCTTTGTACATGCGAGATGGCGAGGCGGTCACGTAAACAGCAGGCGTTTGGAGGACTGTGTTTTTGAGGTGAGTTAACCGAACCTCTCGCTATCATCTCTCTTCTGTCCCCTAGAACTGGTTTTCTCTCGTTGATCAAGCCTTTGCGGTGACCGTGTTGGCTCGCCAGGCTGTAAACAGTCGCATCCTCGTGCTTTTGGAGGCAAATGCATTCAGGAGAGATAGGCTGAAATACCTTCCTGAAGAGCCTAACGGTTCAAAGTGCTCAACAGCTCCCTTTTTCTGCTCTCTGTGCCTGCTCGAGAAGCTGCCCAGCTCCTGCTGCAGGTTGTAGAAGGCACCGTTTTGTTATGCATCCCAACCTGGGGGAGGACCAGGAGTATCTGGAGTGAAGCTACTCACTGCTATCTCCAGATAGAGCTCCCTGTGTCATCCCAGGGCAGCAAATCCAGGCTCTGGCTGCTCCATAGCATCCGATGCTCCTGTACCAGTAAAGCCCACCATTATCTGGAGGAATTAAATTGATCTAATTTCCAGTATGGGGTAATTTGGGCGAGCAGAAGAATCAAGGCGTGCACAGAGAGGCTGCTTGCTGTTGTAAGTTCAAAGCATTTGGAAACAAGGAGGTCCAATATTTTGGTGAGGCAGAGGCTGTTTTTACACAGTGCTGCTCTCACAGTTTCAGTATACATTAGAAGGAAAAAATATTGCCTTTTTCCTTCTAAACTTGGTGCCCAGTCGATTTTCTTGGGCCCTTCATAGCTCAGTTGTGATGGAGGAGGAATGCCCTCGATAGGCAGCTCACGCTTTAAACTCCCTCTGTTTTCCCTCCCTGTTTACACCCAAGGCAAACAGCCACGTTTCCCAATATAGATCTTTTCATCCAAATAAAGGGGGCAGGGAGGAAAACTGGAATATTGTTAAAAATAATCTAGATCTAAAGGTGGTGGAAAAGCAGAGCCGCTTATTCCCAGGCTGGGGGGAGATGGGCAATGAGGGAAGAGATGGGCAATGCAGACCCCCCTGCCTCATCCAGCTTAGGGGTGGAAATCCTCTACCGGTGGAAATCCTCTGCCATCTGCTGGCATCAGTTACTGAAGCAAAGGCTGAGGTTAGAAGTGATCTCCTTATGTATGGCAGGAGAAAATAGGCACCTTTGAAGTGTATAAGCCCTTATCTAGGAGAAAAGTTACCTATTTTTGTTAGGAAAAAGGGATTGTGATCCTCTGCATATCCTCCAGCTTGGGAGCTCTCGGCCAGGGATTTGTGACCAACAAAGCTACGAGTCAAACGTCTCTGTGCAAGCATTGCTGTAGCGGCAAAAAATCCCCGAGGAGCGTGCACATCCGCACGCAGAACTGCAGGCAGCGCAGCCTGGAGGAGCAGCATCAATAAGGTCCGAGAAGGTGTAATAGATACTGCAATAAAAACTGAAAGCACCAGTTTATTACCTGTCTTCTTACTCATAGAAGCCTCACCTGCACGTCAATGCCAACGAGGAATTTAGATGCAATAAATAAGAGAAAGGTCTTAAAACACTCAGCCAGGACTCAGACCTTGTCAGGGAAATCCCATTGCCGTACCTCAATGTATTTTCGGTTTTGGCCTTTGCTACTCAGCTGATTCTCCTCGAAATGCCTTAACCCACAGGCACTGGTGTCAGGAGGGCAGCATTTCCAGGCTCTGCCTTTCCTGCTTCATTGCAGAGCACTCTGGGGGGTTCAGAGCCCCTTCGCTGTGCCCCAGAAGAATCAGGATATTTGTTATTCCTGCTTGATAAAGGACTGAGTCTGCTGGTCCGTCTGCATTTCTTAATCAGCTCATTTGGTCTGATAAACATCATTTATTCCTACAGACCGTGCCACATCTCTGCTTACAGATTACCACAACAGGAATTACAAAGGAAGACAAAAACCAGGGCTCAGAGGTACAGACCTGCCCAGTAACAGCGCTGTGGGTGAAGGAATCGATGCCAGGGGAAGAAAATTGGATTAATTTCCAATGAAAGGAGCAGGCTGGGGCACCAACCTGGTTCAAACCCTCTCCATTCCCAGAGAAGGCAGCAGAGGAACCTTGTGACACAGCGGTGTTATTCGGGAAACGCCTGGGCCAACAAACCAGGATTTCCTCTCACTCAGCTTGGCGAATTCGATCAGCGTTATTTGATATAAACACAACTGTTTTGGAGCCCGGGGGCTGTTTTCGAGCTATCCCCAGAGCTATTCGTATTTTTCTTCTCTGCATCTCACTGCAGCCCTCTCGCTTTTCCTTCCCACCGTTTATCTCTCCGCACACCAAGCCCTGCCCGTGCTTCCTGTTTGGCCCTGCGGTTGCTACTTTTCTCGTTTGCTGTTATTTTTGACTTCCATCCAGGCTTTGTATGATATTAATAGCCATTTCTCAGAACCGTAATCTTCCCCAAACCAGGCCTAATATTAGCCAAGAAAGAGCCAAGGGCCACTGCCGAGGCCTGAGGGACTCGAGTCCCAGGTTTCTCCTCTGTTCATCGCCCAACGCAGCCCAAACCCGGCTCCCACAGCCCCATCCCAGCCCCTGCGGGCGATGGAGACGCAGCTTGGACGAGCTAGAAAGAGGATGCTTACATGAAGATTCAAGAGTTAGAACTTATTAGCAGCCTAATTAACGCCTCAGTCTAATCAAGATACAGCAATCACTTACCATTCATCCCAGTACTAATGACTAATAACCAAATTATTCCGTTTCTATTAAAGGTTGTCGGGAATAGGAACAAAATAAACACAGCAGACAAAAGTATCTACCCCCTTCCTCTAATGATGAATTCTCCCTATTTCCTTTGCATTTATGCAGTGACTCATCAGCATCCCGAGGGGATAAAATGATATTGATGGGTTTTTCTTCTTCTTCTTTGCTGGGAGGAATATGATTATAACATTGATAGTTTCTTCCTCTTCGGTTTAGGGTACACTTATGGCTATTCATTTTCTTTTCATGTATTTCCTACTGCTCTCTATACTTGAATCTTTCTTCACAGAGCTGCAATTCCATGTTACATCCTGCATATCCTGGCTTTTACCTGTATTTTTTCTGTTATAAAGGGTAGTTTCTGTCACCTGCCGAAATGATGTTCATCAATAATCAGTAATGAGTCACTGATGGGTTACGAATAGCCCCGTGCTCGTGACTGCCCCTCTCTGTGTCAGCACATCGCCTGTATCACAGACAGAGCCGTTGTGCCCCAGTTACACAAAACTACACAAATACAATCGCTCCAAATCAAGGGGGTACCTGGCACCTCATTGCTGGGCAGCTGCTGGTACAGGGAACCAAGCAGAACAAACCAGAGCAGGGTTTCGGGCAGGTCAAACAGCCCAAAGAGCCCCGGTGCTGAGGGCTGGCAGAGCCACACGCAGCCTTTGGCCTTTCGGCGATAACAGCACTGACGTGGTTACGTTTTGTAGCCCGAGATCCTCAGCCCTGTTACTTTCTAAGAGCTTTAATGCTAAAAGTCCTTTTCAGAGGGGTCTTCAGGGGTGAGTTCACATCCCGGGGTTTCCTTTCTTGTTTGTCCAGGCCCCAATTCCATTTCGTAGCAGCTTCAGGACAGGGAAACCAGGATAGTTTCTTTCCTGGTTTCAGCTTTTCTCTTTCAGTTTTGCTTTCTCCGAGACAAGTTGTTAAATCAGACCTTGCCCACACGGAAATATGTTCTCTATTTAAGGACCAAGCAATAAATCCCCGACTCTGTGTTGCCCAGCGTATCTGCTGCAGTGTGGAAGAGGAGCAGCCCGAGCCATCGCTCCCTGACAGCAACGCTTCACCCGCAGCAGAAATGAGGTGAGTACACAGAGACCAACCTCATAGGGGCTCCCAGAAAGAGCAGCTTTGGGTTGACAAGGCTCAGCACAGCATCCTTGGTTGGAACCAGGGTGGTTGAGGTTGGCCAGGACCTCTGCAGGTCACTGTGTCCAGCCCCCTGCTCAAGCAGAGCCACCAAGAGCTGAGTGCCCAGGACCACATCCAGTTGGCTTTTGAATATCTCAAGGGATGGAGACTCCACAGCCTCTCCAGAGCAGCTGCACCAGTGCTCTGTGCTCCTCACGCTTTGTCTTGGGTAAGAAATGCAAACAGCTCTGGCTCCGGGCACTGGTGACTCCCCTTTGGAAAGCAGCAAGCCAGGATTGAAGCCTCCCAGCTGGTTCCCTGAAAAAGGCTGATCAGAACAAAAAATACAGCATTTTTAGTAGCTTGAGACCAAGGGACACATGGGGAGAGCTCCCTCCTCCACCTCTCCCTCTTTTTTGTTTCATGTACAGCCAGGAACTCTTTTCTGCTCTGTGTGGGCACCACAGGACCCTACCCCACCCCACGCTGCCTTTCCATAACCCACGTTTTTCTCTTTGTAGCAATGAACAACTGAAGAAGAGGTTGGATGCCCTTCAATGCCATTTCACCTGGCAATTGGGTGTCAAAGGCCACGTCGAACCCACGCACATCCTGCAGAAGCTGGCGGTTGAAATCAAGCACACGCGCCACCAAAACCAGGTAGCGCTTCTGGGGCTGCAGGCGTACCTGTACCAGCTGAAAGGCCAGGCTAAAGAAGCTCTGCAAAGCCTTAAAGATGCTGAAGGGCAGAGGAAACAAGATGAGCAACAGGCAGCCGCTGCTGCTGCTTCCTTGATTATCTGGGGGAATTATGCTTGGGTTCACTACCATCGGAACTCTTATCAGGAGGCTGAAAAGTACCTGAAAAAAATTCAGCAGCTCTGCCCCGCTCCTCGGGACGCACGGCTGATCCCGTACATCCAGGCCCAGAAAGGCTGGGCCCTCCTGGCTATCAGAGCCCGTAACGGGGAACGGGCAAGAGAGTGCTTTGAGACGGCATTGATGCTTGAACCAGAGAACAAGTATTTCCATGCTGGGCTCGGAATAGCTTTTTATTCCTCCTGGATTTACTTCTGGAATCCCGATATTTCAGAGAAAGCCATAATCCAATTAGAAAGAACAGTCCACGAGCAGCCAGATAACTACAGAGCCAAAATATATTTAGCTAGGCTGCTTGAAGGGGAGAATGAAAAGAGATCAATCGCCTTGGTAGAAGAAAGTGCCAAGAAAAGCTCCGACCCCGAGGTCCTCAAAGCTGCAGCTGCGTTCTGGCAGCAACGGTCGACAGAGAGAGCGCTGGAGATATTACGGCATGCCCTGCAGCGGGAGCCAGGCTACCACCTTCTCTACCAAGCCTTGGCCAAGTGCTACAGGACCCAGTGGATTAATGCAAAGCAGGAAGACAAGAATGGTATCTTGGATACGGCCATCAAAGACCTTGAGCGAATTGTTCAGAAGCACCCAGACCTTGACCTCGTGTTCATGAAGCTGCAGTTAGCAGAGTTCTACGGCGCGAGACACTCGGAGCGGGCAGAGATGATCTTCAAGGAGCTGCAGGAGAAAAGCGACACCCTGAGCCCCAAAGGGCTTCAAGCTCTTTATCTCTACTGGGGAAAGTACTTCCTCTTCAGGAAGAAGTCGCTTGATGAAGCGCAAGCAAAGTTTATGGATGGTTACAAAATTCCCATGAAGACCGAACAGAGGAAGGAGTGCAGGCAGAGGCTGTTGAAGACCACTCTGTCGCTGTGGCAGCACAAGACCGATGCCATCCACCGCTTCATCGAAGAGACCGACAGCAACTTGCCCGCAGAATTCTCCGGGATTGATCTGGACTGATGGTGGGAAATCCAGGCTGGAGAAAGCAGAACAGCCTTTTTGCAAAGCTAGAAGGCATCAAGGACTAGTGTATCTGCCTCTCCAACAGCAGGCCCGTTGCCTCCTATAGATAAAAGGGTTTTATCAGCATCTCAGACCAACCCAGTGCTCGTCCATTAAATGCAGGCCTACCTGTAGATAACTGACTGCCCAAGATTCACACACCCTGCCCTCAGTCCTGCTTTTACAGGAGGAGGAAACGAAATCAAAGTTGAAGAATTTGGTTTATGTGTTCTGAGCACAATCCTTTGCAGGCGTAGACCTGCGTCACTCCCTTGGAGTTGCTCAAGATCAGAGCTAAGTGCTGATTAGAATGGAATAAGGAATTAGCTGCCTTCAATTACCAGAATTCAATCATTTGCAACAAAGGAGGTGGCTTTCTCCATAAGATCCCTAACTGCTGAGGGGTCCTGATGAGGATGAAGGACATTTACAGGACAGAGGGATGGTTTCTGGCTTGTCCAGTTGCATTAAATGCAGATGTAGCAAGGGCCAGCTGCTGGTTGAGGAGGATATCGGTGATTGTTTCTGCATTCAGCCTTTGAAGCACACCCCTGCTTGCCTCTGCCTGAACATAAAGCAGCTTTGCTTTCTTGCACTGGTACCCACCGTCCTGGTTTTGTTGAGAGGCAAATGCTGTTTCTGGGGCCAGAGTGAGACTTTCAATATTCCTTGATCAATAAATACTTCAGATTCTTTTCCACATGGTTTCTTCTGTGCAACAGCTGGTGTCTCCTCACAACCTAAAGCAAGATTCACCCTCCACCCCCCAGGCTCACATTCGGTACCGCTCCCTCCCTGCACATCTCACTGTGGAACTTGTGTCCTTCCTGCAGGCACAGCTGGGCACATCCCCTCCATCCCAGCATTGCAGCTGCATTTCCAAGCACTGGCAGGGTCACCTTTGTGCCCAGCAGTAAGAAAGGTGGGAGGGTTCTTGCTAAGGTGTCCCCAAGCCTCCTTCTGTTCCCACAGAGTGGAGCCATGGGGACCAGGGTAGATGTCCCCTAGCAGGTCCTGCTGCAAATGCCCCAGTTTCTGCTCCAAGGAACAGGCAAGGACCCATTTTGGGAGAGGATGCTCCAGAAAAGGACCAAGCCAAGTGTGTCCAAGACACAGAGTTCGGGGAAGGGGAACACACCTTAGTGTTTTCCTCTCATGTACATCTGGTGTGCGCAAAAACCCGAGGCCAGAGACACCCACCCGTCCTGGGACCCCAACCCCTCCTGCAGTGGGTCAGAGCTGGGATGCAAACATAGCAGGAGAGGACTTCACCCTCCAAAACCCCGCAGCCAAGGGGAAGAGAGACAACCCAGGCCACCACACTCAGCCCAGGTTATTTCACCTCTGGATATAATCCTGGGGACCAAAACCTTTGTTCTCCTTCCTCCTCTGGACCCATGAGCCACAGCTGGTGCGTGATGCTGCACTCCAGCAGCAAAGACTGCCAGGTTCATTAGTGCCCGGGGCAGGAGCTCCTCAGAATCACAGCCTCCTGCAATGCTACACAGTACCCCATTAAAACTCCATAGCACAAGTAAAAAGCATCAGCCAGAGTACAGAACCATAGGTCAGTTTACTTAACTGCACAAGTCAGGACAGTTTTCCAAATCTCAATACAAACAACCAATTTATAAACTATGTACACATTCCACAAGTCTTTTCACACAGCAGTGGGCAAGGTCACATAACCCAGTTTGGGAAAGCAGGGACTCCCAAAAGCAAGGATGAAATTAAAACTACCCTCATTCCCCTCACTAGCAAGAGCAGCACTAGTAATTCATTTAGACTAACCAGGAATCCTTTGGGTTTGCATCTACAGACAGTCCTCTGCAAAAAACTTGTCCTTTGTAAACACAGTATTAGGAAACATCTCTTTAGAAAACGTCAGTCCCTCCAGTAGTTAATTAAAGAGAGCAGCTTTTGCTCAGAGAAATGCAACACTGCCATCCTCCGGCTTACAGGCTGCACAACCACAGCACAAAGTCAAGAACTACAGACGTGTGCTGGCTGAAAGACTGGATTCTGACAAGGTACAGCTGGAGTGTCCCTGCTGTGTGAAAAACAACCTATGGAGTTCAAAAGATAAAAATACAAACCACAAAAGAAAACCCAACCAAACTTGCAATCCTCGTATGACTGTTCCACTTCAGATGGTAAGAAGACTGGGTGTTACTGGAAAGTGTCACAGAGTTTCACTAGTCGTTGTTTGGGTTTGGTTTTGTTTGGTTTTTTTTTAATTAACACTTTAAACAAATCCTGCTAGTTACTCTCTTCAACAATAAATTCAGGATAGCGTTGGGTAATAAAAATACATTGCACAATAAAATCCCATTAAAAGTCTCAGTTAAGCTGAAAGATAAAAGGAAAATAATCTTATTACGTCAGCTGCCAAGGGCCACGGAGAGGACTCGCGTTCACTGTACTCATGCGTATCGGTGTGCAAACGCTAGGACGACACCAGCTCCCAGCTCCACTTCACTTCAGCATAGGAGAGGCAAAGAAGTTGCCCTGATGCCTAAGCAGGATTGCTGACTTGCTTTTGCTCCCAAATCTAGTTCAAAAGAAGTAGAAAAAAAAAAATCAGTTTGGGATTTGGGATAGAGAGGTCTAACACTTTCCTTTTCCAGGGGTCATTCACCCAAATTTTACCCACCTCCCAAATAAAGTGCTGCTCTCGATACCACGTCACTCATTAACCCACTGTGCAGCTTGTGCTGTTACTACAGCTCTGATTAAGGGAGAGCTGACCAAGTAGCAAATCCAGACTACTCCCAGAGCTGGGTCCAAAAGCCTGGTTTAAGCTCTTCTTGAACACCCAAACCACCTGCAGTCATCCCAGCATCTCCATGACAGCACCCACTGGCACTTACTTGGGAGTGGTTTTGATGAAGGTAGACCGGACTCTCTGGGACAGGGAGCTGGATGATGGCGTCTTGGAGAGCTGCTGCTCCGGAGTCGTGAGGGGTCCAAGCATGCTCACTGCGAAAAAGGAGGCAGCAAAGTGAGCAACATGAGGACAGCTGAAGTTTTCATTGCCAGGCAAGGAACATTAGACATTTCCTAGCATCTGTCAGAAATACTAGACAAATGTGGTATTTCCTGGCACGCTTTTCTTCCCTCTCCCTCCATAGAGTGCGCAGGAATGGCTGGCTCCAAGTCTCACAAGCAGCTTTGATTGAGGGTCATTATTTTTAATACAGCAGCTGCAGAGCCAAGAGCGAAGCACCCAAGGGTTACCTTGAACATCTGGTGTCTGCGGAGAGGAGTAGGCATTGGCGTTCTCAATTACGTGTGCTGGGTCAATGTTTTCTTGCTCCACCATCATCAGCTGGTTCCAGTAGTCCACAGGCAGCTGCAGAAGTCGCTTCACTACCTAGAGACACCCGTGAGTAGCTGATGTTACAAACCAGCACGCAGCTTTGACACACATCACCCCAGCTCCCTCCAGCAGTTCATTTCAATCCTTTAAACAGGATCCATGCACCCAAGTCAGTCCTTCCTGCTGACCTACCTGGGGCTGTCGCTTCGTGTCTTGGAGAAGCGTCACAGGGTCGGGATCAGGTACTGCATGGGCAACTATTGTGGGGCCAAAGACTTTGGCCAAGTTGGTAATGTCCATTTTAGTCTCTGGGCTCTGAGCCACCCTATATTTAAAAAATAATATATATTAAGAAAGGGCGAATGTAGGCTCTCCTCTTTGCTTATACAACTTCCCTTCCCAACACACACTTCAGCCTCTGAATAAGGAGGTTTTTTCCAGAATGAAGACTTGATGCTCACAAGCAGTAACGTGAACCATTTGGAGAAAGCACCAGTGGCAACTTCCCCTTTCAGAACTACCAGTCCTTGGGGCCATACCTCTGCAGGTGGATCATGAGGAAAGCCAGGGTGTCCCTATTGGCCTGAGGGAGTTCACCGACTGCTTGGTATATAGCAGCAACGCTGCTGTCCTCATCCACAACTTCTGGAAGGAAAAAACATTAAATATTTAGACTTCAGAAAGTGGTCCCAATGCACAGCTGCAATATTCCCCTCACAGTGAGAGCCAGGCTGAGAAAGAAGGAAGCTAGAAGCTTTCCACTGCAGTTATTTTGTATCCTGCCTAGGCACTGGAACTTGTTTCCTTCCTCTTCCAGAACAACACAGCAGAAGAGAGATGTTCCTAGTGTACTGCACATCAACACAGATGCAAGCGTGAGGGCTCCACGGAGCACTGAGCTCTGCCAGCTCACGCGACAGCTAAACCTGGGACCCTCAAGCCTGGGAAAAGGGCTGGAGATGTCATTTCACAACTCCTTACCTGCAGCTTCCATAAAAGTCTTGTTTAACCGGAAAGTGAGAAGGGGTTCTTTCAGGCTGCGCAGAAAGTCCTTGAGAAGGCCACAGACAGCGTGGATATCATCCACTTTACTGAGCAGAGGAATATTTTTTGCTCTAAGATACTTGTCTTTCAGTTCCCTCACTGTCTTGTCACAGCCAGACACCCGGTAGAGGCCGGTCTGTTAACAGAAAGCATTGCTTACAGGCAAAACAACAACTACATGTATCAAGCTGACATTCTTCTGCTCCCACTTCCTCTCCACACCTGAGCACCCCACACAGACACCGTGGCTCAGTCGCCCATGCAGCAGCACTATACGCACCATAAATAAGAGATATTTGGGCAAACAATCGTTTCCCTGACACCACGACCCATTTCATTAGCACCGTTTCACACCTCATTTTGTTTTTACCTCCTGCAGCCCTCGCTGCTCAATCTCATTAACACAGTGCACTATGATGGAAGGGATCATCGGAGGAGCAGAAGGGACAAAGTCCATCAAGGTTCCCTAAAAGGCAGAAGGGAAAAATAAAGAAAAAAAAACTAATTTTAAAGAGATACTCAGTCTTCAAGACATGGAAAATACTCTCTCAGGAATTCAGAGAGATCTAGGCTCAAAAAAGCAAACATTATTTCT